GCTTTTTATTATCCTGTCTTAACATCCCATAAACGGATAGAGTTGTCAACACTACCAGATGCTACTGTAGTAGCATCAGGAGAGTAACAAATTGAGACAACTGCGCTTGAATGACCATCTAATTTTGCTTTTTATTATCCTGTTTTAACATCCCATATACGGATAGAGTTGTCAACACTACCAGATGCTAATGTAGTACCATCAGGAGAGTAACAAATTGTTCTTACAAAATCTGAATGACCATTTAATTTTGCTTTTTATTATCCTGTCTTAACATCCCATAAAAGGATAGACTTATCATAACTACCAGATGCTAATGTAATACCATTAGGAGAGTAACAAATTGAAGTAACTCCACTTGAATGACCATCTAGTTTGATTATTTATAATCCTGTCTTAATATCCCATAAACGGATTGAGTTATCTTTACTTTCTTCACTAGTACACATCACGTTTCCACTACCTGATGCTAAAGTAGTCCCATTGGGAGAAAAGCAAATAGTATTAACACAGCTAGAATGACCCTCTAATTTATTTAACTCATTTATTTTGATGTTTTACCATTTACAGTTCAACAACTAAGCTTAATTCAAGTTCATTCCACTTATATCCACATTATAAAATTCTGATCCATTGAAATTGCATCTTACAAAATTTCCTCCAACCAAAGAAGAATCTCTAATCCTTATATTCTCAAAGTTTTATTCTCTCATATCCACTTTCATTTCTACTAATAAATTGAGTGCATTCGATCCGCTTTAGGTAAATCTCTCATCAATGGCTGTTAGATGTACTAGGAATTTCAAAAATTCAATCATATACCCATCATAAGATATTTATTTTATTAAGTCCTTTCTAATTTAATCATAGTTCTCAGTTGAATAATTCTTCTTATTAAAGTCTATTTCACTAACATTTTAAATCATAGATGCGATAAATTATAACTGACTTTTATTTATAAAGAACTCTAAACAATTAGTAATCTTCTTATTTTTCAGCATCTAAAGTAGCTCATTAAGGTAGGATTCGTCAAAATACTTAGTCTAAGTCAATACCTAATAGAAATCTTCCTTTCTGTTGTAAACTTACTTTATTTCTTTCAATTATTCAATGTTTTCTTATAAATTATCAGTCAGTTTAATTAATTAGTTAATCTCCTTTATTTCTTGATTAAATTTTTCACAAAACTCCTTCGTTTCCTTTTCCAAATATTGCTTTGTCATTTCCAACCTCTTTAACTAAGAATTTTTCTAAACCTTCCAATCATCTAATTGTTTTCCTATAATAATTTAGACTAACTTTTCTAATTCAGTATTGGCCAATTCTACAGGATTCACATTGTTGTTCATATAATTTAAATAAGATTTATCTTCAATCTCAATCAAATCAAATATCTATTTTATTGATTCTGTCATTTCATCCCAAATATCTTTTAACATTTTAAGAGTTGAAGAAAGCATTTATTTAAAAAGCAGCCTTTATTTGGATATATCTTATTAAACATCAATTTTAGATTCTTCGAATTTCTTTCTCATCATTTCTTGAAATTTTTTGATTGAAACCATGTATTTTAAATCCACTCCATGTTCCTCAATACATTCGCCACACAATTTCCTTTAGCTTTAACACTTGTGAGGAGTTAAACATATCATTTATACATGATTTTGAATATGATGGGTGCAATTCATAATTTTATTAAAATAATATTGAATTTCTATTACTTTATTTTGAGTTTTATATTACAAACAAATATTTTGGAAGATATATAAACGATTTAGTGCATTGGAATTGATGTAAATTGGACCAAAGAAACCTAGTGCATAATTGAATTTTTAAAAATTGAATTACAAAACTCATCACCAGCATCAGATAAACTCCAATGATTCACATTTATGTTTGATTCCTATGTTCAATTTATTACTTTCATGAATTTAAATCTTTGCTATTGAATTACTGAAACTCACAGAATTCAGCCTTAGGATTTAAGTCAAGTATAAAGAGTGAAACATTATACTAAGTCAAATTTTTTAACTTATTCAAAATTGAGTTTAAAATTACTCTCACTTCTGACTTACATAAATATTATTTCGACTTATATTAATATATAAGTAAACAATAAAAATTAACAGGAAAATTAATAAAATTGAATTGATATTGTATATTTTAAATGGCTTTAATAAAAATCAATTTCGTTTCTATTTATACCATTCTCTTAAATAATACTACCTTTAAATTGAAATAATGATCGTAAATCATATCCTTTATGATCAACAAACTCTCCTTTAAAAATTTAAAGCTCCATAAGTATCTACATTAGTTTTTTCGGAATTTTTTGAATGGTGGTAACGTTAAAACACTTTAAGAGAATATAATACATTTATGTAATATCAATAAATTTAATTAATTCTAAAAATTTATTGTCTAATAGGGTTTAACTCAAAGTTATAGAGGAGATTAATTTTGTTATTTTATTAAATTATCCATTATGTATAGAAATCCAATCTTGGGTAATTTTGTCATTTTAAACACAATTAATATTAATGAATTTCTAAAAAAATTCAGCTTGAGGTAAAATTAAATAGTTCTGATCTGAGTGATTAATAACTGTTCATTATAGGCAAAATTATAATTGAAAGTAGCTCCTTTCGATGTAATTCATATAGAGATTATTTAACATTATTGTTAGGGATGGATATAATTATGATCTCTAAATCTTATTAGAGGTTAGAATACTTATTGATGATTAATATATCTTTTCAGTCCTTTATTATATCTAATAATTTTAATATCAATTGAAATTAATAAATAACAGGTTACGAAAATAGTAATTTTTAAAATCATTCGATCCCAAAGTTTAGATATTAGTAAGTTAAATATTATTTTTTAAATTCTTCAAATGTATCTTTCTTCTTATCTTTGTTATTAATTGTATCATCACCTTTTTCTAAACTAAATTTTACTAAAGTATTAATAATCTTTATTATGACTAAACCTGTTTATTCTGTTTAAATTATAACTTTAATAGTGTATTGTATTAATAACCGTTGTTTCTAACATCTCAATATTAACAAATATTTAAAAGTAATAAAAATACCAATTAATTGAAAAAGTTATAAAAAAATGATTAAAATTATAATTGTAATGTTTTTAATGAATATTCAAATTCACTTTTGCTTTTGTTTTAAGTCCTCTAAAAAGCAACTTCCTTT